CATTCTTGAAAAGGCTCTAAAATGTTTTACTTAGGTTGCAGCGCAGAACTGTGTGACAATCCACAAGTTCAACCTCAGTGCTGGAAAGGCCCATTCCTTAAAAGAGGGGAGGGGAGGGGGGGACGGGAGGGCACAACTGGGAGAGCATGATCAAAGTTCCAACCATGTAAGGATTGGGCCAGAATACAAATGTACGACATTGATAATGTTCAAGTAATCTACTTTTGCACATAAAACCTCTAGTCCTCAAAAAATTACAGCGAACACCTAGTATCGGAAAAGCTTTCCGATCAAAAATTCATGTAGAATTCTACGTATGCAACATCTTCTTTAGGCCTGTTTACTAGGTTTAGAAAAATTAGCGAAAAATACATAAACACAAACCTTGCATTCACAATGATCTGAGTATAAAAAGTACATGTATTTTTAAATGCAGATTGCTGGCATTTTCACAAGTAAAAGATCAGAGCAATGAATGTATGCAGAAATTGTGGTACCTAAGCAAGCTAACGGTGTTATAAGTTGAGCCTGGAGTGATACGTTAACATTTTCGGTCACTGAATTGTTGACTGAGTTGCTCAACGCAAAAATTGTCGGATTCTAACGGCTACCCTACTTTCGTAGGTAGTGCCTTTGATTTGGAAAAAAACCCAAGTTAAACGACAATGTGCATGGAACTCTTGCGACATGAGATGATAATGTTCGATTAATCTATTTTATACATATTAGACTTACCAAAAATAGAACATGTCAGCGTGAAGGCTTACCCTTTGATTCAACGAGATTGCCGGCTGGAAGGCGACCGCTCGCGCCCGCGACGCAGTTTGCGTTTTTCTCGCGCAAGTGCTCTGATCATTCTCTAGCTTTAATTAGGTTACGAACCCGCCTTCCAGCCGCCAATCCAAATAAATCAAGGTACGTCATGTTTGTACATTACGAAAAGTTTCGATCACATCTGATCGACAAAAACACGTATTGCTCCGGGACTGAGATTTTTGACTCATAAAAAATTTGCTTTTCGCAACGTCATAATTCATAAGACTTGTAGAATCACTGATAGATATATTCGACCAGATGTTACTATACATTTAATACAGCAAGCTTTTGTAATCACAACGGCTGAAAGTACAATGTCATAAAACTTGAAAATGCTGGCCTACAAAAAGTTAGAGACTCGCCCTATGAAGTTTTACCAATCACCCACACCCACAAAGAGTCCAAAAAAACAGAGTCATTAAGAAAGACGTCCATCATCAGTTCACACAGGTTTAGAAGGAACATGGATGTTGGGAAAAAATGCTGACGCAGTTGATCGGTCATGACAACATTTTTTGTAAGCAAGAAGGAGGAAGTTTCAGTGAAGATCAATTTGTTTTGAAGGAATTTGTACTATTTCAATCAAGTCTTTTCAAAAAAAAATCTGTTGTATCATAAACAATTGAAGGTCTCCGGTCTAAGGTTTAGTTTCTTCTACATAGCTGATCATTGATTCCAATGATTCCAGATACCCTTTCGAACAGGGATCCAAAGAAGGCATGTGGCCAAAAATGTGTAAGAAAACCGTGTTTTTAACGTCTGAAAAACCCAAGCCAGAAAGAATCGTAGGAGTAGAATGCAGCAGAGCACACACACAAAATCTTTCTGACATGCCACTCATTTCAGAAGAATAAATAACGCAAGATCAGGAGGAAATCGAAACTATCTAAAGGTGAGGATAATCACTCGAATCCCAGTACCCGTTTCGTAGCTTGGGCAACTCATAAAAATTGAGGTAGTGAAAATAAGTAAAACAACACAACAACATCTTATACCAAAGCTCTTCCGAGAGTACGCTTTCGCAATCTGTCACAGAACCGAATTGTTGCTGAATTTATAGCAAAACTCATAACATTTCTACAGCTCATTGCCAACTCAGAGTCGACAATTTGCAAAAATATAATTTTGAGATTGAGTAATTAATTTGAATTCTAATAGATTTTGAGAAACTCTAGAAGTCATTATGCAGCGCATTGCTTGCTCTCGCACATTTGGGTTTTTGACGATTTCTGACATAAATTTGAAACCTTAGAAAAGTAAACTACTTGCCAAACAGATTTGCCAAAATGTAGGTTGTGCCGTCAACATCCTACAAGATGAGTGAAACTCTAGCGATATACCAATCATCGCAAAGCTATATTTCGCTCTCAAAAAAGACACAGGCAAGAAAGTTTGAAATAGGGATATATGTGCTTTGAAATGAAGATCGAAACTTAAATTTCCGAGGAAAAAGAGATAAGTACGAAATAATGGTCTCAGAAATTTTTGAACAGTTGCGCATTGATAAAAGTCCACAAACATCAGCACTGACATCGAACACAACAGCAAAGCACGAATTGTTTGAGAAAAAAATATATATGGATGATTTTTCAAAAAAAAGAAACCTTCAAAATCGTGATGATCCACCATCTGGCCAGCCAGCAGTATAAGTGGTATCAAAACAGTTGTCTGGATTTGTTGACAGAGTAAAGGTTTCAAAACACATGGGAACTGTGCCAAAATACACAGGCATGTTGCTTTGCAATTGTAGTATCACAATTTTTCGTTGTTCTTGCTTGAGCAAGAACAAAGTTCATTATACTGAGACCGAGTAGAATGAAAAGCGATGGTGTAGACTTATTGTCAGATTTTTCTTGATGACATCACACGACAGCACACCCCTAAGACTTGACATAAGAAAAATCATCAAATCCAAATCATCTCTGTTCCTTGGCTATGATCAAGCAAAAAACGAATTAGAGATGACAGGTCCCCAAATCAAAATCACATGGGAAGCCTGAAGATCCGCTCAGAAAAGTGGACTCACCAAACAGAAAGATTTGAAAGCGTGAAGTTTCATTAGTATCTTTATGGAGGACCGGTGTTCGCAGTTCCTTCTTTTCTAGATCAACCAAAAAGTGGTTATTGTAAACCTCAAATACTCATTTTGAGTGCTTACAGTCTAGCAAAATTCGCATGATACTGTGTGCTTGCGGTATCAAGATGCTGCGGCCAGATTTGCGCGCGGGATAATTAGCTATAACCTCCTGCAAGACGAAGGCGGTCGGTTCAATGTGCAACGCGGCTGCGACATGGCTGCGTCACAGCAGCGTCACAGCCGCGTCACAGCCACGTCGCGCCTCGAACCAACCGCCTTCGTCTTGCAGGAGCTTATACCTACGCCTGTAACCAGGTGCGCGTGCAAAAGGCAGCACTACTGGCGCGTCCATTTGTTCACAAGCAAAGTTGGCTGCAAAATCCCATCATAAGTATAGATACATCATATTGAGGGCGAAATCTACTCAATTGTACCTTCCACCTCCTCATATCATCTTATTCTTCAAAGGCAGAGTCTAGGCAAATTTGGACATATGGGGTCGGTCTCTCGTGGGCAGTAATTTTGGGACCCGAACTAAGACACTGCCCAGCCGGCAGCTCAGATGGTGTTCTAACGGCTGAGATATTCGCCTCTACTGGACCCCGGGGTCGTATTTCGCATGGATTCATGACGCGACACATCAGTCGCGTGGGTCCTTGCGCGAAAGCATGCAAACACAATGCATGTCGTCCGGTAATACAGTCCTGGTCGGAGGCGTTTGGGACCGGCCATACTACTCCAGGAGGTGATTCCTGCGATTCCTGTAATTCCTGCAAATCTTGTAATTTCTCGACTTCCGATGTGTCGCACTACGGAGCCCTTTGCGAATTCCAGTATACATTGCTTTTTCGCAATACACATTGTCACGGAACCCACAGGAATCACAAGAAACGCAGGATCTGCAGGAATCGCAGGAATAGTATGGCCGGTCCCTTTAGCTCAGGTAGGTGCCAGAGCACGAATATTTTGTTCAGGTTGGGGTCGCGCGCAGAATTGACGTCACTTGGATTGACGCCAGCATGGTGAGAGACGTCAATTCTGCGCGGGACCCCAACCTGAACAAAATATTCGCTTATTCTGGCACCTACCTCAGCCGTTAGTGAGTCATTTGCGCTGCCGCTTGGGTCGTGCCTTAGGGCCCCGAAATTACGTTCCAAGTGAAACCCCCATAGATTCAGAATTGTCTGGATGGACGCTGCCCTTAAAGCCAGAAATGGTCTTTTGCTTGTCTCAGGGCACTACGGCTATCAGTAGTACAATACCGTGCTGCAATGCCAAAACTATACATGCCATTAGCCTGGTGGGAACTGCGGATCGGAGATGGTACATTTACTGATAATCGTCGTATGCTTAGCACACATGTTCTTCTCCCTTCTGAACAATTGGCTACACATGGTGAAAGGCCGCTGCTTATTCTGCACAGTTGCTACATTTTGAGAACGTCCAATCCTGCTTTTAGGTCTAGTTTGACAAATTAGTTCTTGATCTTTCTTTTTGTACTAGCGTTCAGAACTTAGTTGGCACCATTATATGTTCCATGTAAAGCAAGAAGATGGGAAAGAAGATCAAAACGTGAAGTTCAAGTAGCATGACAGGACAAAGCTTGCAAGGTATAGTAAAGTGAGATACGGTAGTTATTAGATGTGTAACTACAACCAGCTCCAAGAAAAAAGAAGGCGAATGAAGGTTATTTGTTGTTTTTTTTTTTGAAAGAATCAGGAGCGTTCAAGAATTACATGTGGGCACTTGTATAAAAAAAACCTCGATTTAGAAGCATGACATACTGACAAGAAAAAGAATGACCTGACTAAAGATGGCAGCGAGCTCAAACAAGACAACTATTACGGATGGTCTACATCGAAGAAGGAAAGAATGTTAGAGAAAAAAACTGCGACTGGCCACAAAAGATTAATGTCATGAATGTGCTTCAATGAAAAAAAAAATTAAGAAGGCCATTTGTAATAAAAGGCCAAGAAGGACAGAATCTTGCCAAAAATGAAAATGCATTGGCAAGATGAAGCTCAGATAGCTCTCAAGGTTCAATAGATTCAGCTTCAAGGCGATATGAAGATGACATTTTCGTCAAATCAAGCGAGACAACGAAAACTCAAGCAATTAGATCAGAAAAATACTCACCAGACCGGCGTCTGCCTCGTCTTCTTCGTTTTTTGTGCTCGTGATCGCCAAAATCATCTTCGACTTGGTTGTGAGATGGTCGTCGTTCGGGTTTCATAGGGGAGAGCGAATCAAGCTGGAGAATAATAGAATTTATGACACCGAACTTCGGCGTTTTCCTACACTAACAGCAGGTAACCGATCAGAAGGTATGAAGGAATGTTAAAGAACGTAAATTGTTGGTTGCCAAAAAAAACGTAAGATTTCAACAGCTGCGAAAAAGATCGCAGTCAGCAAACGTTGCCATACCTAACCAAAACAGGTTTTTCGGCTGTTACCATCACTGTATAAACAAATGGAACAAAAGAACGTACAAACATTCTGAGTAAGGACTCAAAGATTAGGTAAAGTCAACTACAGTAAGTAAAACGGACTTCAAGAGCAACGGTAAAGGGTTATCAAAATAATTGTAAAAAATACAACAACAGCAGCTGAAAATCGCAAAACTGACCACGAAACTCTCCTCGTAAACGTCTTCATCGGGACGAAGAAGATGACGTTTCTCTTGAAGATCTTGTCGTTTCATTATGGAGGGTAGTCTAGCCTCTGTAAAAAGTCATATGCTATCAGAGTGACGAGAGAACTCAAAAAGGACAAGTAAGCATTGAATAAAGCGAAAAGATACCAAAAAAAAGATAGATCTAGACTTACTATCTTGTCCATTCGCATCGAGATTGTTATTTGAAGACGATTCTGCTGCTTCAGATAGAAGAAAGTGGAATTTTACTTCCGCATGGGATGAAAGACTCTGCAAACAAGCTGTCAGACTATAAAAACAATGAAATTTATGCGTTTCGATGAAATCTGCACACCAGCTTAATTGTGAATGTGAGCGGCCAGCGGCCCAAGATGGAAGTGATCTTTTACTGATATCGAGGAGAGCACACTGGCTATTTTAGGAAGCAGAAAGTACTTGAAAGATAATAATTCTCAATGCCATACGTAAAAAATAAACAGTCCTTGAATTTGATACGAACAGCTGAATCGTAATTTTACTATCACTAATGACCTAAGAATCAACTGTTTCCGATAACGTCATTTACAACTCATTAGCTATCACAAGAATTAGATAAGAACGGCGGAAATAATAAAAGCAAATTCAAAGTTTGAATCCAGGACCAGAGCCGCGAAAACTCGTCCAGAAGCTATTGGCAAAAGCGCGGATAGAGCAGCTGGCGGCGGCGGCGGCGGACAGCTGCTGGTTATTTGAACCGCTGGCTGATTTGGAGCCTTGCCAAAAGGCCAAACTCTTTAGAAATTGCCATTTAAATGTTTTACTCCTCAAAAGAATAGCAAGTCTACGAAGACATCTACAGTCTGTTTCAAGCGGTAAGAGAAATTTCATGTGGAGCGGCCATCCGCTTCGCTGAAGGTGTTGCGAGCGCACAGCGCTGGCATTTTGCCAGCAAGAGATTGAAGAGAATGAGGAGACGCCGACATGGGTTTTTAGCGATATACCATGCTGTCTTCAATGGGTTCAAAAATATCGAGATGAGCTAAGAAATAAGTGAATCATTGAAAAAAATTTCAAACTTTTTGAAAATGAGTTGAAGAATTCACTTCTGCTAGCGGAGTGCAATGGTCTCCTCAACGACTGAATTATCATATTTAGCCCTATTTTTGAGAACTCCTTTTTTTCTTCTTGGTTTACACACTTTCAGATGGTTACTGCATCACTTCCCGTCTGACAGTCAAGCTTTAATAAAGCGCTTCAAAAGGAATAGAATACGAAAGTTATACAACAAATGGGAAATTTGTGATTTTTTTTGGGAGGTTGATATAACGGATGAAAAAGCTAAAGCCTTCTCAACAACTGGAGACTGAAATATTTTCTAGAACTTATGTTGCGCATGGGCTCAAGCAATATTCATTGTTTTCATTGTTTTGTTTGTCATGGCCTTCAACCTTTGCATCCCTTTGATGTACTCAATTGAGCTTGAAAGAACAAGAAGAAACCAAAGCCTTGCCAATCTCCCATGTACATTCTGTTTCTGTTCTACTTCTTCAGCTTTGCCGAATTTCATTAAATGTGCAAAAACCATGCGCGTGATTTCTGGCGGTTCAGTCATTTTTTTTATTGAAATTGCCGGGATGATCAGAAAATTGCACTCATTTTTGGCCACAATCACAAAAAATTTCAAATTGCCTTGCCTTTTGGACGTTCAAGAAATTCTGTCGTTCGAAGCGACGTGCATTGCGTTGAGATATGAAATTGCGCGATGCTTCTTACATTTAGGCCTACGGCATACCTCGCGCGATTTCGTCAAATCGCTACATTCACGCGACTTGGCAGTTTGCCAGATATTTACAAATCAATCGTGTGCGGGTCCTAAGGCACAGGCGCGTGGCTACCGTAACTCATAGCAAAAGCTTTAAGTCTGGCCCATGCAAAGCGCGCTAACGACCACTTACGAAGAGTCGCTGCAGTGCCAGATCGCGCAGCGACAGGAATCGCGTGAAGTATGCCTTAGGCCTTAGAAATAGTGAAAAAGAATTCGTCCTTTCCGCATCTGAAGTCTGTCGAAGCCTCGACATAGACAGAGAGAGAAGTCGGAATGAAGTGAGAAATAAAGTTAGGGGGGTAGAGGACTATATGTCGCCGAAAAAGGGCGGTCCCCGCGGTCATTTGCGACAAATACGCACCCTTGTACATGCGCGGACATGCGTTCCTGCAGGGACTCCACGCGGGACTCTTCCAAATTTGGCGACATATAGTCCTGCACCCAAGTTAGGGTAAGAACACAACTGCGATGGCTTAGTTTTTAAACTTGGATAAAATAACTGTGTGATTCACGTGATACATTTCGAAGGGAAGAAGAAGTTTCCAATTACAGGTTCCACATACGATGGCAATAAATGTGAGTGACGTTAAAATTGTTTTCAATTCAAACAAAATCAATTCAGAAATGAAAGACCAGCTAGCAAGCGAATAACGCAGAAAGCGACTCATGTTGCAAATGCGTCGCGTACGTCACATATCGTCATCAGTTAGAATTACGTCATTGTCCAGAATAATTATTGTGGACCTTTGGATATAAAAAGTATAGTTGAGGTCTTTGAAGCAAAGTAAAGAGCAAAATTTTTTGAGCCGAAGTGACATCTTTTAGCGAACTGGAGTTGAGGAATTGATTGTCTTATGTTGAGACGTATTTAGTGAACCACACATGTTATTAGGTTGGTCCATAAGTCCTGCATCAGAAATTTCGGCAAGTTCGTCTAAAAAAGGTTTGCAATGTTTCAGCCTGTATTACATACTTTCAACATACATAACAAGCAGTGGCGTACCGAGGGGATGTCCCCCTCCCGAGAATGGGTCGCGAAATTTTTGAAAGTTACTTACATGAGTTATAGAAATGTGCAAGCGATTTGTTCATACTTTAGATAATTAGAATAATTTTTGAAAATTTTCAAAAATCCAAATTAGCCTCATAAAATTTTTTGGGAGTTATGGGCCCGCGAAATTTTGAAAAGCAGGCAGAAGGAAAATTTTTTTGGAAAAAATTTTGTCAAAACCCCCCTCCCCTCCAAACGGAAATCCTGGGTAGGCTAATGATAACAAGTGTTCTATATTACAGGGCATATTATAGATTTCGTACGAGACAAAATCGATGTCGATCTGAAAAAGTCGAGAATCATGGCTATTCATGGAAACATCCAAGGGCAGGTCGCACAACCATAAACAAAAATAAAAAATAAGAGCTTTTAGCTTCTAGCAACCAAGATTCAAAAACTACGATTTCAGTGTTTTTCTTTACTGCTTTTGTCATCTGGATATGCCAACGTTTTTCTCTTTGACTATCAAAAAGTGAAACGTTTTCTCTTTTTGAATCTAACTTGAGTGGGAGACTAACTTTTTATAAAATCGTAGATTTTGCTGCTTTCAACCAGGTCTATTTTGAAAGCAGAAAAATCTACGATTGTTGCAAGACATATGGAGCGAGCTAGTATAACGATGAATTATTCGTCCGTAACATTTTCCAAAAACTGTGAATTTTCAAAAATTCATTAGAAATAAATTTAGCAGACATCAGCATGCAAAGTTTTCCAAAAGGTCTAAAGAGTCTTTGCAACTTTTAATAGGGGATGAAAACGGCATGTTCTCACTACATATCAAAAGTGTCAATTTGCATAAGATGTCAGATAATGACGAGGTATAAAGCCTTGAGAAGGGCAAAAAAGCCCAGCAATCGCGTAGAAAACTGCTTATGAGGAAAATGTAAAAGACGTAGCTCATAAACATGACTATCATTTTCTGCATCCACTGAAAAGTTCGCCATCAAAATTCCATTTTCGATTCGTTCTTTTCACTTCATGCCACTAAAGCATTTATTGCTCTCACAAAGATACTACACAATCATGGATATAGATAGCGAGTTTATGAAAACGTCAGCCTACCAAGAGAAAGAGTCGTAGCGGTGCATAATAAGAAGCCTCACTGGCAAAGAATGCTCATTTCAACCAAAGATCACGCCGGATGACACTGATGTTTGCCATAGCACGAAACCCTGAGAATGTCTAATGAGCTCATAGATTCTAGTATTTCGCCTTTTCAATCTTCCAGTTGGAAATCAAAAATGATAAGTTTTGGGATTCTATAGGCTTGATTTAGGTCATAGCATTGGATACCATCATCACCTTTGATCTAAGCAGGACTCGGCACAGGTGGCTTATAAGCAAGCTGGATATCGTTTTTGGGACCAAAAGCAAAGGGGGCTTCTTTTTGTGGCCGAAAAGACACAAAATTCGCGACGTTTTTCTTGGTCGACGCTTCATTTTTCGGAGATTTTTTAGGGATTATGGCTAGGGTCAAAGGGGACTTCGTAAAATTTGCAAAAGTCAAGAGGGACTTCGTTTTCTTTTCATTTTAAACTAGCCAACTCGTGCCAAGTCCTGATTCTAAGTGCCCGTGCCAGCGCCGTGCTAGATCCGCAATCTACCGATGCGGGGAGCGCGCACGCGGATTTCGGCACGGCGCTGACACCTAGGTGGTGCAGCTGCAGCACATGGGCAATCTTGAACGCAGACTAGAAACTAATCACGTCCAGCGACTAGAACAGGAAAGCGAAAAATGAAGAAGAAAAGAGAGCTATTTCTTCAAAAAACCTGCACTTGAAAGAACCTTTTCTTTTTTTCTGGATCATTTTTCTTCTTTCCCAAAATGGAACATTGAAACTCTTTTTTGTCTTGCCTAATCAAGTGATAAACGAACTGAGGCGCAAGTGACCCCATAAAACAAGGGCAAACGATAATTATGTATTGAGGCATTTATCGCGCCCTAGTTAGGACGCAGCGCGTGTTTTGAGGTGTTGCGGGGCAGCAATCCTTCGTTCCTTGCAGCGCTGCTCAGCTCAAGTTGCAGCGCTGCTCAGCTCAAGCAGCGCTGCTCTCGCTGCTCGCACATTTTGTGCATACCTAAGCAGCGAGGTATGTATCAAGCCTTAGAGAAAATTACATTGTTTTTTTCATCTCTCAAATACCATCAAATGCTAAGGTGGGAAGAACCACGTTGCTGAAAAATACAGTTTTTTATACATCAATTCCCTAAGGTTGGGTGAAAAATTACTGAGACTAATGAATGATAACAAAATTTTCGGACATAAGATAGTTGAAACTTTTTGGTGAGTTTGTTTCCGAGAGAAGCAGCAAAAATGGCATCATTTCGCGTCGTTCCAATGAAAATTGCATTTAGAAAGGGCAGCGAACATATTTGGGAGGAATTGTAGCGGAACAAGAGTAACAAATTCTAAATGGACGTCTAGTGACGGTGAAGCAGTGTCCGAGAACATGTGTTTTGTTTGTTGTTAGCAAAGAAAATGGGCTTCCCAGGCTAAGTAGGCAGACATCGCTGTAAACATGCTCTTTGATCTACTGGAATACGTAGATGGTCGTTAGGACAAAAATGGAAAAATGCAAGTTTTTTTCATAAGGAGCCGATAGCTGAAGGAGAAAGCTTGCTCTTACATACGTCTTTCCCCTAAAGTATACGGAAGTTCTGCAGGGCTGAAAAAAAGTACGAAAAAAAAGTCTAGCGAAGAGCAAGTCAGATCCAGATTACACCGGCAACGTCATGCTTACGCGATATTGCACAACCGTCTGAAATACATAATGGCGATGTAGTCGTATGCAAAAAAGTTCTTTTGAAAAGAACACGGACGTGGTGAGTCACTCTCGTCAGTAGTGACGTGAAACAGGCGAACATATCTTTCTGATGAAAAAAGATAGCCTACATCCTATGATGATGTTCAGTAATAGTGCAAAGATTTATGTTTCTTAGACATGAGTAAATCAAGACCATAAACAAAGAGATAACTACTGTAGAGGTATTATGTTTGAAAAAAAAAGTTATCATGTGCTATAGAAGCAGGGTACACATTT